GTCTAGGCGGCATTGCCTAAAGAGATTTTTATGGAGAACAAAATGATCTTATTTCATAAAACTTTTAAATATTTTTTGAGTCTTTATGTATCCATTTTTTAAAAAACCCGAGCTATAGTCTACATTACGTGCTTTTACAAACCCTTTCGATCAATAGTAGTTCGCTTATACTATTCAATTCTAATCTCAAAAGAAAGAAGAGAATGATGATCAAATAAAAAAACTAAAGAAAAACATGATTAGTTGGTATGCTATTTTTCATTCTTTGTGATATCAAATCATAAGTTTTTATCAACTAACTTAGGGGAAAAAAACGTAAAAAAATCAAGATATTCCTAGGTAAGATTCTCCTATAAGAACTAGTTTTTTCAAAATACCTTATACTCAACCTTTTTCATTCACTAAAATAGACTTATCATTTGACCAATCACCTTCGAGTAGCATCAAAAACCAAATTTCATACAAACCTTAAATGATCTAAATGTTTTTGCTTGGTTTAGCCCAATGACCCTCTCGAGGAAATTACGTCATGGCATTTAAATGTCATGTTTTCATTTTTGACTAATCAACTTGACACCTTCATGAATGAAATTACTTTCATCGAAACATCTTTATATTTCTTTCAAATAATTTGAATTATATTTAAGAAAATTATTCAAGTTTACGACTTAATCTATGAATACCAAATATCTATTCAACTATCTTTCTTAAAAGATAATGAAAATTTCAAGACTAATATGCAATTTATGATTCAAGTATCAAAATATAAGTATTTGAAGACAAGAAGTGATTGTTCCTAGAGAACTATAAACATATGATCTCGGTATCTCATGACACGATCTAAATGGTAATTCATAAAATTGAAAATATTTGATAAGCAATGCCAATGATCTAACCACTCGGATCAAATTTGACAATTGGTCGAGCAATGACATAATAAAGTAGACCGATGTAATAAGAACCTAAGCAACAAGTATTTTAGCATTAGTCAAAGAAGCCAAAGCAACTCAATCGGTGGACAATAGGGCTATCTTAAACAAACCAAAAGCTAATAATCTAGATAGTTCAAATTCAACTTTATTGGTAGTAAATTGAAAAACAAAAAATTGAGCTTTTAAATTGTAGCTTATGTTTCTCACAAGTAAGAAACAAACAAGTTGTAGTAGCAAATAGACAAAAGAAAAGTTAATCTTTTAAAGTGTAGCTTCGTTTCTCATAGGTAAGAAACTAACAAATTGTAATCAATTTCATTGATCTATTACGGAAGAATATCTCATCAACTTATCCAAAGAGGTTCGTATATCTTTTTCGATCGGATCACCCGTCAAAGGTTTATTTCTCCGATCATGTTTTTTTAAGAAAAAGATCATTCAAAGTAGTTCGTATATCTTTTTTTATCAAATCACCAATCAAAGGTTCGTTTCTCCAATCCGATGAGGCTATCGTATTTTTACTTTTTAGGAAAAGCCATCCTACCAAATAAGGCTATCATATTTTTATTTTTTAGACAGTGCCGCTCGGATAACAAAGCCATCGCATTTTATTTTTTTTAGATAGACCACTTAGATGACAAGACCATCGCATTTTACTTTTTTGGATAGGTTGTCTAGAAACCAAGGCATTGTATTTTACTTTTTGGGCGAGTCATCTAAATAACAAGACCATTGCATTTTACCTTTTTCAAGTAGGTCGTCTAGATAAAAAAGCCATCGTATTTTACTTTTTTGGACGGACCATCCGGATGATAAATAAGACCAATGTATTTTACTTTTTGGAGCCGGTTGCCTAAATAACAAGGTCATCCCATTTTACTTTTTCAAGTAGACATCTCGGATAATAAGTCTATCGTATTTTACTTTCTCAAACTAGGCACCGGATAACAAGGTCATCATATTTTACTTTTTTTAGACAAGTGATCCAAATAACAACACTATCACACTTTACTTTTTGATACAAGCCATCTAGATAACAAGGTCATTACATTTTACTTTTTTGAGCGGTGTCGCTCGGATAACAAGTCTATCTCGTGTTACCTTTCCACTAGATCATTTTTACCACTCAATTTACTTTTTCTTTTTCTTTATAAATTCACTAAGCAAACCCAATTTGAAGTTTGTTTTAGCTAGCATTTACATTGTAAACATTATAAAGAAGGAACGATCTGTCATAGCATAATTTTTCTCATTTTTTATTTATTTCTTATTTGTTATTTTTATTTAATTTAATTTTACTTTGTTTTGGAATTTACCAAAAAAAAATGAAAAAAGAATCAAATACAATATATATATATATATATATATATATATATATATATATATATATATATATAATACAAAAACACCAAAATTTGTATTAAGGGCATAATTGAATAAAACATAATTAAAATTAAAGCAATTAAGGATGCAATTGAAGCAATTGAAAACCTTAGGACTAAAATTACCAAATACAAGGACTTAATTAGAGAAATTAAAAATTAAAAGGACTACAATGACATATCTTGAGGGTATAATTTAAACAAAACCTAACTAACAAGGACCTAAATGAACATAATATACAAAGGACAAGACCAATTTGGATCAATTGAATGACCTATCATCCAAGTTCCTTCGACAAAACTCTAGCATTTCTACTCCAACGTTCTACCATCCTTTGGCTCTATTCATCTTCATCGGTGAAGACAACGGGTTATAAAGGAGAAAGATGCTATTTCCTTTTTGTACTCTAATTTTCGTTAAGGGATTATAGTATGCCTCTCCCCATGACGCTGCACCTATACCCGGAGCACACACAAAACACACATTGTACAATATCAAGCATAGATTTTGACAATATTCATACAAAGCTAAAACCAACGGTAGGCAAGAGCTTTATTAGGTTAAGAATGAGGTCTGGAATTGATCCTAGGAGTGACCGAGGGATCTTTAGGAATAAATATATGTTCAATTAGGGTTTTTAGACCAAAAGAATTGAGGAGGAGATGAAAAGACAATATAAAGAGAGAGAGACGAGAGAGAGGTAGATAAAGAGGAAATAATAAAAAATAAGGAAAAACAAAAAGAAAAAAATTAAGAGAAAATAAAGAACTGGGAAAAACAATTAAGAGAAACGATTGTAGGGAACCAGAATATGGATTGAGAGGAATAATTGAGAGAAAAAGTTAAGAGGTTAAGTAGACACAAATGAATTGGAGAGTAAGTTAGAGACTTAGGTTTCATATCGAACTACAAGAAGAAGGACATATTAGGGTCGGCATCATCAAAGTAGCCCCCGTAGCTCTTCGGTTTAGAAGGACCTTGGTTTACCATCCGAAACGTACCACTACCCATTGCCAATGTACGTCCTCACTTAGGCTCTCTCAATTAGACACCCAATTATGATTTTCCTTTGACTTGTAGCTCCTTATTTGGATCAATGTAACCCTTGACAACTCCAAGATGAACGATGGCAGTGATATTCATCACTATCATCCCACAAAAACTCCCACCCCTTATCGATTTCGATCATTGTCATATTTGATTTTATGAAAAAAAAAGAGTGCTTTAATGACTCATGAGGGTTAGATTATAGGTTTAGACTTAGGATTTAGGGTTAAATCAAGACGAAGGTTATGATTTAGGACTAGGTTGAGGTAAGAAATAAATCTAGGGTTCGGGATCTATAGGAAAAAGAGGGGAAATTAGTCAAGGTTTTAGGCTATCTAAAAGGAAGATTTATAAGAGGAGACAAACTAGGGATTTGATTTTTGAAGGGGATCGATTGAGTGAAAGGGTGAAGATAAACCGATTTAGGATTTCTAGTTTGAGACGAAGAAGAGGAAATCGTTGGGCTTTTTAGGTTAAGGCTTAAGGTTTTCCTTTCGTTGAGGGAGGAAAAGAGATCATTCAATCTCAAGAGAAGTTATAGGAGAGAAAGATAGAAGAAAAGAGAGATGAGAAAGACATACAACTTGGGTGTTTTTTGATCTAAAAAGAATTAGGAATTATTTAGAAAATGGTTAGAATGAATTAGTTTGGTCTAGCTTAAGTAAAATGAAATAGAAAAGGGGTTGGGCTTTGCATGACCAAGGCTTTTGTAGATTTTAGCCCGATCTAGGCCAAAAAAAAGAAAGAGAGAGAGGTCGAGCTTACTATTGGGTCGAAGGCATATTGAGCCTAAAAGGTCAAATTCCCTAATTTAGTCTTTTTTTTTTTTGTAGATAAGTTAGTTTTTTTAAATTTTTAATACATGCATTTTATTTTATACTTGGTTTAAATTTAATTTTGAATTTCTTAGTTCTTATATTTATTATTTTAGTCAATGATTAGTTTTTTTTTTGAATTTTCTCTTGATAATTAAATTAGGTAATTAATTGGTAGATGAGTCATCAAGTCTCCTAATTTTTAGGGACTAATGGTGATTTCTCATCAACCCAAAATATATGTAAAAATAAAAAAGGAAAAATTACAAAAAAAGGTGATAAAAAAAAGACAGAGACATAATGAAAAAGAAAAAAGAAAAGAACAAAAGAAAAATATAGAAAATCCTAAGAAAAAAATTTAACAAAGTCTCATATCCAATAGAGATTCATGTTAACTCAAATAAATCACATTTTAGTAATTAAGTCGTTGTTCGGCATATCGATTATCTCAAGACTTAATCTAGATCCGATGTTGAATTGACGAGAAGTTCAGACGAAAGTGGTCCGGTAATCGACTCAATATGATGCCACAAATAAAAATAAAAAAATTAATTTGGCCTAGAAAATAAAACTTGAAATTTTGATTTAGGATTAATTTTGGAAAAAATAACAAATTTTAATGGATAAACTTTCGGACTAAACCGGATATGGTATGTTTCCTAAAAAATGGTGTTTTTGAGTAATTGATATCTTTTAAAATGAATAGCCAACCCCTTATCTTAAAATATCTTAATTAATAATACTCTAAAACACAAGGGACTTTCACTGTTCCTTTCACCGTTCAATGAACAATGTTTTTCAGCTTTTTTTTTTTGAAGTAGCCATGGCTCGGCACCGATTTATCAACCAGCGGGCCTTGGTCTCTTTTCATATTTCATTTTTCACGGCTCCTTTCATATTTCTTTTTTCTTCTTATATATATATATATAAGAAGAAAAAAAGAAATATGAAAGGAACCGTGAAAATGAAATATGAAAAAGAGACCGAGCTAGGCATCGGTTAATAAATCGGTGCCGTGCCATGGCTACTTCAACCCGAGAAAAAAAAAGAAAAAAAAGAAATATGAAAGCAATCGTGAAAAATGAAATATGAAAAAAAGATTAGGTCGAGCACTGGTTGATAAATCGATGCTGAGCCATGGTTGCTTCAAACCACGTAAAAAAATGAAAATGAAATATGGAAAAGAGACCGTGCCAAGCTACTGGTTGATAAATCGATGCCGAGCCATGGCTACTTATATATATATATATATATATATATATATATATATATATATATATATATATATATATGAAAAAGAGATCGAGCTAAGCGCTGGTTGATAAATCGGTGCCGAGCCATGACTGCTTTAGCCCATGGAAAAAAATGAAAATGAAATATGAAAAAGAGACCGAGCCAAGCGTCGGTTGATAAATCGGTGCCGAACCATGGCATATATATATATAAAGCAAAATGATATTTCACTTTATATAACACTGTTCACACACTCACAAATGACTATTCACATACTCATAAATTAATATTCTTTTCACTATTCATGTCATATTTGTAAAACTTTGTTCTTTAATGTTTCTATACTTTTTTTTCAATTTCAAATTTTCATTGTATTGTGATTTAATCCCATTTTGTTTTAGTGTTTTTTATTAATTATTTTTATTATTTAAAATTTACTACTTTAATTTGTCATTTTTTAAAATGCTCATTCAATTAATTTAAAATTATATAGTCCTTAATTTTTTTTATAGATATATATTTTTTTCAATTTCAAAATTTAATTGTATTGTGGTGTAGTTCTATTTTTTTTTAGTGTTTTTTGTTAATTAATTTTATTATTTCAAATTTACTACTTTAATTTGTTATTTTTTAAAATTCTCATCCAATTAATTTAAAATTATATTTACTACGGTTATGATTTATTTTAATATTATTCATTTTTTTGTAAAGATACATATAAAAATTAAATTCACATTTTTTAAAAATTGATATTCTCATCAACATTAAATAAAAAATAAAAAAATTATTTATTCAATTCTATATAAGCTTTTAATAATTGTTATTTTTGTTTTTTGACACAATCTTATGAAATGTTAAAGCTTTTTGAAAAACATTTATTTAATTTTATTTTTAGTTAATAATCCATGGATTAAAAAGGATAAATCCTTTTTCTAAAGGAAAAATTATGAAAAAGACAAATAAATACATAATTTTTTATTAAAAAATTATAAATATATATTTTTTTCACTTTTGATTTCATATATTTTTTATAGATTCATACCATAAAATTGACAATCAAACTAAAATGATTTTTTCAAATAATTTTATATATGTTATGTAACTCGCAGATGTAGCGCGAACAAAAAATATAGTCGATATCTATTTTAGATTTTTAGTTACTTTTAATACTAGGTAGCGACTTTAAAATTAATAATAACTCATATCCTCAAATAAATAAAATTTTCAAAAAATAATCATAAAATTTTGAAAGTCTCGGAAAATTTGGGTAGCCAAAGTGGTTGTGGTGGTAGTTATAGTGGTAGTATTTGTGGTAGTGGTGGTGGTTATGATGATAGTGGTAGAAGTAGTTAATACACAATAAATAAAAATGATATATTATTATTTTTTTAAAAAAATTATTTTCATTTCTAATTTTTATTCTCATCTTTTACATAGGAATAAAGTTATGTATATTTTTTATTCTTATTCCCTCTCTTTATTCTCGTTCGTACTTTATTGTTTTTTATTCTCATTCGTGTTTTATTTTTATAAAATTTTTATTTTCATTCTCATTTCATTTCTAATTGACCAAACAATATCTTAAAAATTCATCAATTAACTCATGCGTGATTAGTTTTAACCTGTTAGCTATAAATTGTTTGGTAATTATTTTGAATATCACATTACAAACACTAATAGATCTTAATCGCCGGCAAGTTTCAAGGATTTTAACTTTGGGCACATGTACGATATTAGTATGATTAAAATTCCCTCAATTTTTAATTGAGTACAAACTTCAATTTTACTTACTTGAGCTGTAAATTTATGTTTTATTTTTTATTTTATCTTTTTCTTAATATGATACTTATGTAAGTTAAAACAGTAATGCGCTAATTATCTCGTGCTACGGGACAACATTATAGACAAGTATTAGAAAATAAAAATGATAAATTACACAATCCTATCTGAGATATTCGATATGTATTGTGAAAAATTGTAAGTGGAAAAAATCAACAAAATTTAGCGAATTTCGTTCCATATCATTTAAGTTAAAGAATTCTTAGATGGTTTGATGGCTTCGATTAGTGTGAATTTCGGAAATTGATTTAAAGTTAGTTTTCAACACTTTAAATAAAAAAGAAGGCCGTATATGTTTGTTAAAAATAATATTTTATCTAAAAAATAAAAAAATCGAGTCAGAATTTTGGTTTAATTAAAAGCTAAATTTAACTAGTTAATTGTAATTCATACTTTCAAAAAATAATTGATTCGACCTTTTTTTTTAAAAAAAAAGCCTTTGTGTCATTTTTAGGAAAATACACTTCCATGGTGTAAGTTATTTATAAAAACTTATGAATTATTATTCGAGTCAAAAATATAATTTTTTCATAAATCATGGAAAATGATTTAATAATTTCAGCTTCCTGATCTAGTTAGTTTCAAATTTAGAGTGAGAGCGGTAGTTAGATATCTGTATTTCCCCTTTATTAAAGTTTCGAGGTGGATAGACCTCCAAATCAATTACTCAGCAGCCACCCCAAGGGTCAGTGGCTGAGAAGGTAACACGTGGAATTAGAGGCGGTGGCGGAGAGAGATGGAATGAGAGAGAACCAGTCACGTGCTTGTTGTTGTTTAATTGTGCGTGTCAGTGCGTTTGGCCCATTAATCGTGTCGTCACATGTCTTTTTGTTTGTTGTACCGCCTGTTCCACGAAATTGTGCGTACAGGCTGAGGTCATCAACTTAGGACGAGATATTTCTGCGGCCAGCAATGACTTTCCAAATTCCTAATCACTCCTTCCATCTCTTTTCGTGTTCGGTGGGCAAAAGCATAGAATAGTAGGTAACTGTTATTTGTTTTTAACTTTTCTGATTCGAAATTTCTATCAACTAGTGTATAGATTAGCTTAGTTTATCTAGTTATTGATAGAGTTAGGTGGATAAGATAGTTTTGCGTATGTGATGATAATAAAAAATATTTTGATAAACATTTTTTAGGTTTTATCAGAAAAACCTATTATCACTAGACTTTTATATCCAGATCGATAATACGTTTCGGTATGTATCTGCACTGCACATGGATGGATATAAAGTGATTGACGTTGGGGGTCCTTGGATTTTAAATTTTATTTATCCAGTTATCTTCCCACCATTTCATCCATTCTTCCATTCATATAGAGGTGATAAGTTTTATAAATCGTGTGGATCCCAGGCAAATTACGTTTCAATTATTCACAAAGAAAAATCTAATCCAGTTTTTTTTTTAAAAAAAAAATTAGAATTTTTCGAAGTCAGAAAATATCTTTTATATTATTCTCAAAGAAAATGAAATGTTTTTTATACAAAAACCATCTAGATAAATCCATCAAAATTTTCTAGAGTTCTCCACAAATTTTGGAAAGAATACATGCTATCTTTTATTTTTTTTCAATTTTGTAAATTTATAATGTTTAAAAAATAACAAAAAAATTACTATTTGACCTTAAAACATTTTGATTTTTTTAGACAATCGGTTGGGTTTTTTTCAGATGATAGTATAAAATTTGAGCTCAAAATACTAAGTATATTATTATTATTATTATGGAAGAGGTGACAGTTGTGATATAGTTTGCACGAAACTTATATCACCAATAAAAACATGACATAGAGACATTTAACGGCTCTATGTGGATGGAAGGACCCATGAAAATTACGAAATATAAGTGGAAGGAATAGATAAATAAAATTTAAAGTTGAAGGATAAGTCAATAGTACAGGGACCCTCGAGATTATTAACCCACATCATGATATTTTTTGAGGATGCCTTAATCGTTAAGGTTTGACAAATGGACTCACGTGTCTTGTATCAGGTCTCCACAGAATCCCAATCGCTCTAAACCTAGTTTTGCACTGATCCTCACATGTTTCGGATCTGGTTTCAAACCAACTCTCGTACGCTCTAAACCAGGTCCTCAACCAAGCCTCAGACGTGATTTGGGATCGAATTTCAAACAAGATTTTTTTTTTTTTTTTTTTTTTTTTTTTTTTTTAAATTCTCGAAACCAACTTGAATTTCAGAAACATATATTGATCGGATAAAATAACAGAAATTTTTTAAAACCACCTTTTAAATTTTAAAATTTGTTAACAATTTTATTTTACTTGAAAAATTAAAAAAAAAAATAAAACAAGTTTTATATATTGTTTTCAAAATTTTAAAATTTTAGAAACAAAAACAAAAAATTGAAATTGAAAATGTTAACCAAACAATCCTCATCTGCCTTCAGTGTGAAGCTGGCATGGACATCATTACTGCAACCTCACAATTTTGTTTTTTTTTTTGGAGAATTATTATGCCAGATGTAGCCATGTTTATACCGTATATGACGTATCTAAGTCGAGGAAATTAGAAGGCGATCGTTAATTATTAAAATCTCAATCAAAAGAGAAGAAATGAAAAGAAATATCACTTGACTTTTCAATGAATGCAACAAAAACATACACGTAGATGAAAAATGGACATGACTGGGAAGTGGGGACCATCCAAGTAGCCCACCGCGTAGCGTACTAGTTGTTGCCAGATATAACTATAATTTAAGTGGTTAAGTTTTTTTTAATTAAAAAATAAAAAATTCTAATATATTTAGGATGAATTATTAGGTGATAGTTTTCAACTGATATATAGTTAAAAAAAAAAAATGTTATTTGGATTATTCAAAATATTTTTAGAAAAATTATAATTTGAGTATATGATATTCGATTTTTTTTGTTTAAGTGTTAATGTTTTATTTTTTTATTTAAATTCTCTCAGTCGCCTAATATTTAAAAATATTAACGTGATCGAGATCTATTAGCATATGATATTCATTAACTAACTCATAGCAAAAAAATTGGTCCCACTATAATTTATTGGGCAAAAATACAAAACCTATATAAAAAAATAGCTGACAATAATAAAAAAATAAAATTAATTACTGTTTGTATAATGAATTCGACAAGTTTGTTGAAAAATTTCTTAAAATACTTCCAAAATATCATCATTTAAACATTTCATTTGTCTATTCCGATAGTTTTAACATTGGATTATCTAAATGGTTCGAATTCATTTGACCAATAAGAATTTATTTTATTTTTTAAAAAAATCTTACTAACTATTTTTTTAATAAAAAAATTATAATTTTTTAGTTTTTTTTCCCTCAATAAATCTTAGTAGAACTCATTTTTTTTTTAATCATTTTTTAGTTAAAAACTATAACGTGTTATTGGATCTCAATTATAGTAGTATTTTTTTTTTTGTCTCAAATGACTACGAAACTCAAATAGGAAAAAAAAAAAAAAAAACAATCAAACATTGGGTTCTCAATCATAAAAATAATCAAAAGTTAGACACTTAAATTATAATTTTTTTTTCTAAATAATCCAAGTGAAATGCACTTTTTATCATATGTTAGTTAAAAACTAGCACGTACCAATTCATTCTAAATACATCAATATTTTTCAATTTTAGATAATTATGGACATTCAAATAAAAATAAATAAATTAAAACTTGAATACTCAAATAAAAAATTTTATCAATCAAACACTCGAATAGAAAAAAAGAAAAAGAAAAAAGGAGAGGGTTTTTGGTGCCTAACCTTTGATTTTTTTTTTTTTGGTGCTTAATTGTTGATTTCTCATGATTAACTACCCAAGCTTTGATTTTTTATTTATTTTAGTACTTGAGTTCACTTGAAACCTTATTTTCCTAACTTGTCCAGCGAGACCTACCAAGTGACAGTTTGTAATTGACACATCAACAATAACCCAAATGTTGTAAACTAACTTGGTTCTTACTATATTTATATTCTAACTAAACTAAAGGAAAGAAATGACAAAGAAGGGTGAGAATTTTCCCGTTTTTATTGGTCGCCCTTATAAAGACAATGAAAAGGTAGCCATTGAATTACTTTTTTTAAGCTTCGACTTCAAATAAAATAAAAAAATTTCCCAATAACAATCCAAAAGAAATGTTAGCTAGAATTTGCAACTCGTGGAGGAACTTTGGTGATGCGAACTTCATGGACCGATAATAATCTAGGAAGAAGATTCATCAAATATGGGAGAAAAAGATGCAATGTTTTTAAATGGGTTAATCCATTCATTTGTGATCATGCAAGATAGTTTATTCTTGGCTTGTTGAGGAGGTAAATAATCTTGAATCCAAAAACAATTGTAAGAAGAAGAGCATTAAAATCTTATAATGTTATTTGCTACTTTCTTGGGTATTTGTAATTTACAAGTCTGCTTTAATGAAGAAATGAGGTTTTTCTGGAGAAAAATAATAGGTTGGGTTTATTGGATTTCAAGTTGGATGGTGTTTAATGAAGTGGGGTTTAATTGAGAAAAATCAAAGGTGGGTTTGCGGCTAAAGGAAAATCATATTGGTTTTGGTTTGGTGAAGTCACCGGTATTGCTTAATCAAATGCTAGTGAAAATGACGAGTGAAGGCTGCGACAACAATTACATGACGCTTGCACTTTTGTTATATCCAAGTCCTTGGGAATAAAAGGAAAATGTGGTTTTTTCCTTTGGCTATTGGTAGCTAGCAAGCATTAAAGCATTTATATTTCTAAGTCATATTTTGAAACAAAATTTGATCCATTTTTATTGAAATTATATTAGATTGTATAACTACTTAAATTTAATAAAAATTAAACTTGTTATTGAATTTTCTTCCATTGGTCATTCATGTAACTACTTATATTAATAAACCTTTTTTTCCAAATTAGAGAAGAATAATCATCTTAAAAAACACAACTTCTATTGGTCATTTATATATCCATATCTACAACCATGTATGATGTGCACAGTTGCACTTATGTTTAATTGCTATATCTAAAGCTATACAATAAAATGACCTTATCGGTTTAGTTCAACTAAACAAAGCATAAAATAAGAAGTTGTATTCAAAAGTTTAGTTATACCCAACATAAATTTATGCATATTCATCGTCGGCATCGAAATTTGTTCACCCTCTTAGCCAATCTAGATTTTTTTTGCCTAGTGTTGTTTAAAATACTTGAACTCATCTAACTTTTCCACATGCCATTGTTAGCATCCTTTTTTTATTTAGCTTTAGACTCGGTTCTTTTTTTCTTGGTTGAATTCAAGTCTTCTAAGTGTTGGAATGTGATGACTATATAATTTGCAATTAGAACACCAGTAACTACCCCAAATAAGATTCATTAGCTTCATGTACTAGCCTACAACATGAAAGATAAATTCAACAACCACAATCATAAACCGGCTTGCACATTCATTTATAAAATAAAGAGAAAAAATAAATTAGAATATTTAAACTCACGTTGATGATTGTATTGATATTATATGGCATTGTATTTATATTGAGTGTTATTTGTTACTTTTTTGGGTGTTTGTAATTTACAAGTTATTTTGATGAAGGAATGAGGTTTTGCTTGGAGAAAAATAAGAGGTTGGGTTTATTGTATTTCAAGTTGGATGGGGTTTGATGAAGTGGGTTTTGGTAGAGAAAAATCAGATGTAGGTTTAGGGCTAGAGGAAAATCATATTGGTTTTGGTTTGATGAAGTCACCAGATCTTGCTCAATCAAATGCTAGTGAAAACGATAGTGAAGCTACGACAACTACATAAAGCTTTCACTTTTATTGTATCCAAGTCCTTGGGAATAAAAGGAAAGAGTGGCTTTTTCCTTTGGGTGTCGGTAGTCGACAAACATTAAATCATTTATGTTGTGGAGTCATATTTTGGAACACATTTTGATCCATTTTTATTGAAATTGTATTAGATTGTA